TTTCGAGATAAATTGATGATGTGTAGTTACTTTGATTCCACATGAAGGCAGTAAATTAATCAGAAGTGACAGTAAAGACATTTATATTGTTACAAAAGTTTTTTTTTTTCAAATAAATGTAGCTCTTTTGAACTTTCTATTCATCAAAGAATCCTGACAAAACATTGTCAAAGTTTTCAACATTGATGATAATAAGTGATTCTTGAGCACAAAATCATCATATTACATAATATTAAGTAATGGCTGCTGAAAATAAGCTTTGCATCACAGAAATAAATTACATTCTTAAATGTATCAAATTGAAAACATTGTTTTTACTGTATTTATGATCAAATAAATGCAGCCTTTGTGAACATACTGTATTCTATCAAACATGAAATATTCTTATCAAAACTTTTGAATGGTAGTTAGTTAGTTTTGAGTTTTGGATTTATTTTTTGTTTGTGGTATTTTGACATTTTTAAAAACAAATCTCACACAGCTCACAAATATGCTCACAAAGGTTCCATGTACACGTCTTAAGTGTAGAGGTGATCGAGCATTTTCACCCCTAGATTATGGCATGATCTTCCTTTCTCTGTGCGTTCTTCGATCTCTCTGCAGATGTTCAAATCACGTCTTAAGACCCATTTGTACTCACAGGCATTTGATGTGTAGTTTTACAGGTATTTACGTATGTATTTTAATGAATTGCTGTTATTGTTTTTGATTTTCTTGTACAGCACTTTGGTATACTTTCATGGTTTTTTTCGTGCTTTATAAATGATTGATTGATTGATTGATTGGTTGGTTGATTGCACTGGCTCAATGTAGGACTTATAGAACAATTCCATCAATGTCCTATCTATATTGAATTATCTTAATTTTCTTAAGCAGTATAGGCATTGCAGTCCCCTTTTACATAATATATCTGTATTCACATCAAGACACAATCTGTTATCAATAGCTGTCCCCATATATTTATAACTTTCCACAAATTCCACCTTCTCACCCTTAATAAAGGTCGATAATGATATCTTTTGTCTTAGATGCATTCAGTTGCAAACAAGCATCATCACACCATTTCACAAAATCGTCAACAACTGGACCATGACATGTTTCATTATTTTCCAGAAGAGTCACGATAACTGTATTGCCTGCAAACTTAAAAAAACCCTAATGTTGTGTTTACTTATACAATCATTTGTATATAAAATATATAATAAAGGAGACAAAACACAGCCTTGTGGAGTTCCTATAGACGTTATCAAGGGAGATAAAAAATTACCATTTACTCTCACTCATTACTTTACTCTTAACTTGATTAAATGAATCTGATTATGTAAAGTATGTTTCCATCCACCTATTTTTATGTGCATTTTGGATTATCGCATAAAAAAAACGCTGGATGGAAACGCCAAGATGCACATCAATTCTAAAAATGCACATACGTTTTTTTATTAAGGTTCATTTTTACAGGTTACTAACGTTTATAGATCATTAATAAATGGTTCACAGGTGTTCGCTTTACATTAAGGTTCACTTTTACAGGTTACTAACGTTTATAGATCATTAATAAATGGTTCACAGGTGTTCGCTTTACATTAAGGTTCACTTTTACAGGTTACTAACGTTTATAGATCATTAATAAATGGTTCACAGGTGTTCGCTTTACATTAAGGTTCACTTTTACAGGTTACTAACGTTTATAGATCATTAATAAATGGTTCACAGGTGTTCGCTTTACATTAAGGTTCACTTTTACAGGTTACTAACGTTTATAGATCATTAATAAATGGTTCACAGGTGTTCGCTTTACATTAAGGTTCACTTTTACAGGTTACTAACGTTTATAGATCATTAATAAATGATTCACAGGTGTTCACTTTACATTAAGGTTCACTTTCACAGGTTACTAACGTTTATAGATAATTAATAAATGGTTCACAGGTGATCACTTTACATGAAGGTTCATTTTTAGACATTATTAACATTTATAACTCATTAATAACTGGTTCACAGATGTTCACTTTACATTAAGGTGCACTTTCACAGGTTATTAATGTTTATAGATCATTAATTAATGGTTCATTACATTAAGGTTCACAGGTAATATTGGAATTAAAATTTTCAATATTAATATCTCATCAAGTCATGGTTGTGCTGTTATGATTTTTCTCCCAAAATAAAAAATCAAGATGATAATTTCATCTTGATAAACAAAATATATTGGTTTCTAATTCTTGCTTTGGATAGGCATCATGAACTTTTGCGGAGAATCATGGGTAAGAGTGGATTCTGGTAAGAAACATTGTAAGAAAAGTGACACGAGTCATGAGATATAAATGAGAAAACCATAAATACAACACCCTTCAGTCTTGCTAAAATAGTATATTTTTGCTGCATCATGAATAAAATCAGGAATCTGGTTTTGAGTGAAACAAGTATTAATAAATATATTTGTTAAGCATTTATAACATGTGAGTTAAAAATGGCTCACTATTTGGCTGGTATTGCATTCAAATCACCCTTTTACTCATGCATTTATAACTGCTTATCAATGATTTATAATGCATTTGTAAATGAGTTATTAGTCATTTATTAACACCTTTATAAACCCTTTATAAAGGGAACCTTGATGTAAAGTGTTACCGTTAAATTTGCCTCTTTGGATGGAAACATAACTATTGTTTCACCACCAGCACACACGTCTTAGATATTCATAGATTCAGCTGTCTCACACATCCAAGTTAAAGTGATTCAGTCAGATCTAGATCACATGCCATTCTTCTGAGTGTGTCACATGATGTGTTTAACACACGCACATAAGCATGAGTGCACACACATGGGACGGCTCTATGCAACGCTGTACATTGCTTCACGGCATCACATAAACATCTCCAGTCAATCCAAGTGAGCACATGCCTGACTTTTGAAACAAAATCCAATTTCACTGTGAAATGTAATAAAAGCAGTCTGGCTCCATGATATCTTTGGCTGCTCGGAGGCCTTAAGATTACAGTTTAACATTAAGGCACAGCCTCGAGACAGTACAAGTTATTTTGATGAATGATGTGAAACAAAATATAAAGGTGACAAAAAGAATGACCATGAAAAACAAAACACCACAGCACACGTCACCCTCTTTATGCGGTACTTTACCAGCCATAAAGTAGAAATTACTCTCTGACAGAGATTTCCTTGAAAAATTAAGCAAAATTTGAGCTTCTTCTGAGCTTTTGAGCCTGAAATGAGAAAACAACATGTGCTTTATAAAGAGCTATTATAAAACAAACCCAGCAGCTAACTTATTTACACCAGGGACTTTTTGTCTGGAACTCAATTTAGTAAAGAAGTAAGTCAGGTTGACATAAGCGCAGTCGTGAAATAAAGTTTTCAGTAGACTAATGCGTGAAGGTGCTATAATAGATTTTTTGTGAAATACCACATATAAAATGTCCCTACTCCCCGACAGATAGCACTGAAATTGGTGTGCTGAGAAAATGTGACAGTTTAGCTCTGTAAAAAGCAATAGAGTCAGGGGGCCGGCTCAAACTGAACACTAGCCAATCGGAAATGATATCTGCCAGTCAATAGTTTTCCATGTTTGGTTTCCTGACAAGTTTTTGAAGAATTAGATGAGATTGGAAGAGATGCAACAGACTATGATATAGACAGACTTTTGCGTATAATAATGTAGAGGTTGAACAGAATAGTCTCATCATCACTTTCTCATCAACCTCTAGTAAATTATTTACATACTGTGGAGATGAACTGAGATCATATTTTACAGTAGGTTTAAGTAAAAAAAGGTAGTAATAAGACAAAATTAACAGGCCAAGAAAAAAATTTACAGGCTGAGATGCTGTGGTGACAGGAATAGATGAGACAAAATGACACAATATAAGAGGGCTGAGAGAAGGTGGAGAAGATCTGAGACAAAATAACATGAGATGGTGTGAATTAGAAATTGTAGGGTGGAGACAATGTGGTGATGAGAAGAGATGTTAGGTGTAAGGTGTAAATTTTGAGCAAATGTAATTAGTTACTGTACTTGAGTATCTTTTCGGGTACTTTGTAGTTGTACTGAGTATCAAAGATATTAGCAACTTTTACTCTTTACTTCACTACATTATTGAATGAGTATCTGTACTCTTTACTCCACTACATTTGAAATGAGTGTTGCAGTTGCACATTATATTTTGCATGGACCTAGCTTTTTCTGCAGCAGTTTATTTCTGCTACAAAAGACGTGATACTGCCTATTACAGGTCACTGAAAGTACTGCATCTTGTGCGTTTTACCCTTACTCACCCAAACTTTTCAACAAGGCTAAGCAAATATTTGTGAATCAGAGGTGTTTTATATATGAGATGAGGACATGACTGCTGCCGGCAATGAGGCCCAAACCAGCACATCCATTGCAAGAAGGCTTCGGCTTTTTAATTTTACTTAACATTATTTTATTTATCCATTATACTGAAGATACCTTTTTGAAAGATTGTTTTTTGTTTTGTAATTTTGAGGTGTTCAGTATCTGTACTTTTACTCAAGTATGTTTTTTAGGTACTCTTTACACATCTGGATATAAGAGTGCTGAGAACATGCTGATACTCTATAGGTTTTTCACACTGTGCTTCGTCAGTCTGAACCCTGATTTTAACACTGGGTAAAAGTAGATTTCACATTTGTAATTTAGAAGCAGGGTACGTTTTGTACCCTGGTAAAGAAACCCTGCACAAACCCTGCCAAACTTGTACAGTGTGAAGAGGTGTGGTGTCAGAATGTTGCGGCTAGATGCTTAGCAACAGGCATCCAATGGCATGCCTCATATTTACGTGTTTAGGACAGTTACGGAAACACAGCGTGTTGTATAAACAGTCGATTCAGCGTTTAAGTCATTTATATATAATAAAGAACATTTATATATTGAATTATAGATCCATTTATATAGATCAGTGGTTTGTGGGACAATGTTAAATGGTGACAGAAAACATGCGAAACTGGTTAAAGTTTTATACTTACATTTATAGTCCGTAAACTCCATTCTGGAAAATGCATAGAAAACTTTTGTAACATAATAAATGCCTTTACGGTCACTTTTGATCAACGTCATGCATCCTTGCTGAATAAATGTATTATTTTTTGCAAAATCTTACTGACCGAAACTTGTGAGTAGTAGTTTTCAGAATGTGACAATGAGATCAAATGAGGCATAAAAAGACTGTGCAAGAAATTAGCAAACAGATATAAAGTGGTAGTGAGACAATAATGAGAAATGATGACATGAAACAGAGACAGTGTTTAAGTCTGACTAACAGGCTGAAAAAACGCATATTAGACGAGGCGCCATGAGACAAGACAATAAGAGAAGAGGTCGAGATAAAAGGAGAAGCAAGAGAGACTGATAGCTACAGAGTAAAGGGGTAAATATTTCCAGTGTATCCACAAGTATGCTTCCATGATAAGCACATTTCCTTGATTATCTCATCTCATATCTATGTGTAAGTGATATGTAAGTAAAGCAGAATGCAGAATGCAGGAGAAACGAGGAGAGGTGTAGAGCGTGTGTGGGGATTCTGCCCAGAGTGGAGCAGAGATGAAAGCTGCTCTCTGTTTGTCAGATGCAGCTCTAATTATGGCTCCTTTAATTAGTGCATCTCAGAGCTGACTCTCTTGGAAACATGCCACTTTGTGCAGCCCCTTCACCCTCTAACTCTCCATCTCTCTTTACCTTTCATCTACTCTCCCTGGCTTCTCCTTGTGTCTTGACAGCTCATACGCCAAGTAGCAAATCAAGGTAACTTCAGCTGCTGTAGCCCTTAAGCCAGTGTCTTTACTCAGATTGGGAGAGGGAGAGGATAGAAAGACCCAGAAAAACTGCGAAGAAGCGAATGGGAGAAATGGAACACGTCAAGAGTTCATATAGGCACTGGAATGGGCTCTGTGTGCACGCACTTGTGTTGTTCTGTAGTATACCGTACAAAATAAGATTGATTCCAGGAGGTGTTTGGCAGGAGATGACGAGGTTGAGATGGCAAAAAGTGGAGCTGAGCGACATCGCATTCTCTGGAGGAATTACCGTTCGGCGAGGTGGAGACGTGTGTCAGTGACACCGGGATTCAATCTCCCGCAGTATTTACTGTAGCTCCACTCAAGCACAAAGTCCACATGAGCGAGCAGAGCACGGTGACATGATTTCACACGGTTAGCTGGGGGTGGGAGGGTTCCAACTTGAATTTCGATTCCATTCATGTCCGTGATTCTCATTTAGGGAATACTGCAAGATGCTGCATAAATTAACTAAGAGGATATAGGGCGGGTGCACTTGGAAAGAGAGAAAGAGAAGGACTTTTCTTATCGTACCCCTGTGGCAGGACTCTGTTCAGCCCCTCAGGAAAGTCATTAGCTCCCAAAGACCCCTCAAATTCATTATTTCTCTATCACGCACTGTTTACAATTCGTCCTCGTGAGAAGAAATGTTAACAGCTCCCGCTAAGCGCTAAGCTGTGCGGTGACAGAAAGAACGCAGTGTGCATCTTATGTGTGTGGTCATGTTTTATTGACTGTGTAAAATCTGTTATTTATCTCAAATTTATGGCTGCATGAGCCAGTTTCCAAAACTCTGCTTTTTGTATAACTGTTCAGTCTTCTTTAGTTATATCATTACACCAGTAGGTGGCATCTAATAATTGTTTTTAGTCACTGCATTCGTAGTGCACTAGGGAATTATTTATTTATTTTTATTATTTTACAGTAGGCCTACTGTAGCGGTACCATAGTACCATCAGTAAATATACTGATTAGAAATGCCATGTTTCTTACCGGATCAGATTTGACTAAGATATTAAAACAATAATCTTATTTGTAGAGCAGCATTTCTGAAGTGCTAATATATAGTACTGAACACGATTCATTGATTCTTCTTTAAAGTTATATCAAGTTATAACTATAGAGCTACAGTTACACAAGTAGGTGGTATCTAATGATTGTTTTTAGTCATAGAATCATTAATTCATTGTTTATAGTCGTTTCTTGAAGATGGCTAAGGACTCAGCTGCTCGGATTGAGTTGGGCAGGTCATTCCACCAGGAGGGAATGTAAAAGTCAGTGAAAGTGATTTTGTGCCTCTTTGAGATGGCACAATAATGTGTCGTTCACTTGCAGAACGCAAGCTTCTAGAGGGCACATAACTCTGAAGTAATGAATTTAGGTAACTGGGTGCAGAGCCAGTGGTGGTTTTGTAGGCAAACATTAACGCCTTGAATTTTCTGCAAGCAGCTACTGGCTACCACCCAGTACCTCTCTGCACCCATTTACCTAAATTCATTACTTCAGAGTTATGTGCGCATTATCAGTGCAAATTGATGAACAGAGGTGTGACATGCGTTCTTTACGGCTCATTAAAGATTAATCTTGCAGCAGCATTTTGGATTAATTGTAGAGGTTTGATAGAAGTGGCTGGAAGACCTGCCAAGAGAGCAGCCTGGCTTGAAAAAGAGCTTGAACAAGGAGTTGCGTTGCATGTTCTGAAAGAAAGGGCCTGATCTTCCTAATGTTGTATAAAGCAAATCTGCAGGACCGGGCCGTTTTAGCAATGTGGACTGAGAATTTCAGCTTATCATCAATCACAACTCCAAGGTTTCTAGCTGTTTTTGAAGGAGTTATGGTTGATGAGCCTAACTGGATGTTGGAATTTTGATAAAGTGATGGGTTTGTTGAAACCACAAGCAGTTCTGTCTTAGCTAGGTGATGGTCCGTCATCCAACAAGAAATGTCTGTTAGACATGCTGAGATGCGAGCAGCTATCGTCGGATCATCAGGATGGAATGAGTGGTAGAGTTGAGTGTCATCAGCATGGCAGTGATATGAAAAGCCATGTTTCTGAATGACAGAACCTAGTGATGACATGTAGGCAGAGAAGAGAAGTGGTCCAAGAACTGAGCCCTGAGGCACCACAGTGGAGCAGAAAGTATCAGTAGCACTGTTAACATCAAGAGATGATAACTTTTCAGGGGAAGGAAGCAAAGATGAAACCATAGCAGATAGCCAGGAGGGTGAGAGTGAGTGTAGGTTACGACGAAAAGTGAACACGTGGAGGGGTATGTGTTGTGTCAGGAACCATGTTGAGGTTAAGAGTGAGGAGGAAGTGATCCGAGGTGTGCAGTGGAGTAACCAATACATGATCAGTGGATTTACTGATTACTGTTAACAGTAATTACACAATTACTGTGTGTTGATATGGTTTATTTGGATCAGTTCCAGAAAACAGACAAGATATCTGGCAACATTTTGTCTAAAATGTAAGTTGCTCAATATTAACACCTTGTTTACTGAACTGTTGTATTTAAGGAAAAGTAGATTCACATTCGAAATTCAGCACCACTGTGTTTACCTGTGGCCTGTTGTATAAATACACATAGATTTATATCTACTCTACAGATGCAGTTCATAGTATATTAGGAGGAAAGGAAACAGGATATGGATATTTTAAGCAAAGAGGCTGTGGGGCATTTCAGTGAAACTATGTTCTCATTGTTCAATGGACATGACATCATTTATCTGTGCCTTTTTTCACATGACCTTCGTCCAAAGGAAATTATGCAATAGTAGCCTACATTGGGTTGAGACAGTACAGAAAGGCAAAGGATGGAGCATATACTGTATGATGTCAAACGTATTTCTTATATGTTTTTATCTTTTATGCAAGGACATATCTAGAAAATGCACCGTAATGTATTGTGGGAAAGAGCAAATTACCCCAGGTGTATGACTTTTTTCCAATACACCTACACAGCAGACAAGGCACACACATTGAGCACTTTTTGCCAACAGTTGAAATTACAGTTCCTTTTTTTGGCTCTTGAACTCCCAACAGTACTTTTCTTCTCTATGTCAGATTGAAATCAAATCATGTCAGTTGTTTTTGTTTGGGACCACAAAAATGACTGCATTTGCCAAGAATATTGCTAACAGTCTAATGTTTAGTACTACAAGAATGACACCTTAATTCACCTAAACCAACAAGGCACTATGGTAATAATAGTGCCTTATTTTCACGTTATGTGTGTGTTTGTAAGAGTATGATCATTTTTACTGAGGGGAATTTTAATGAATGATTACTGTGCACATGTACTATACACATATACATACATATAGTGTAGGCTACATATAGTGTACATAAATTACCATGGCATTACTGCATTGCCACAGGGTTTTACTGAAGGGTATTGTTATCTGTGTTGGAAAAAAATATCTGGCAGTTTGCTGGACAATGAGGATCTCATTCATGTTTTTCCCCCACCTGGCTTTTGATGTTTGAAGGAACATTTTGATGCACCTGACACTTCTCTTTTCTTTTGGCAAATGTTTTGTGATTTTAAAATATTGGTCAGAGAAGCACTTTTTGGTGCAACATTACAGTACCAGCCACCACTGATTACAATATATGGTTTTGGTTATGTGCCAGAACTGAATTTAGAATGCCTTTGTAATTCCAATTTAATTCCTGTATTTGAAATGATTTTGAATTGAATGCAAATTAAGTTTCAATGCAAGAAAGCAGAATTACATTCAAAGAAAACGTTAAAGTTATAGCAACAAAGCATTGTTTTGAAATAAGTTTTAAGTAAGCAGATTCATTCTTCTGCACGGACAGACAGACAGACAGACAGACAGATACTATCTATCTGTCTGTCTAAATAAAAAGCATTATGTGTTCAGTTCCATTCAAATTGCAGTTCAGTTCTTGAATTCTGAAACTGCACAACTCTGGTATACATAGACATCTACAAAACAGAAGACATGCAATATAACCATATAGCGGTAGAAAACTGCAAAAAACATAATTATACTTGCCTTAATTTAGACTCATAAAGCAGAGGCACATACACAAAGAACGCTGTACACACTATAGGCACAGTGCTGGTGCATCCTCTGCTCGTCTGCACAACAGTGTTTTCGACATTCTCCTCACACACGCACGCTCTGACTCTGAAATCCCAACACACACACACGGGCAACATAAAAGGG